TCAGGCTATACGTATAAATTTAAATTTGTACTAATGTCAAGGTCACGAAGTACTGTAATATCAAGGACATTTTATGTTTGTACTAAATTCTACTTTATATCTTAATATAAAGTTTAGTCGCAAAAATTCAAGCGTGAAATATATCGAAATGTACGCTTCCTGTACGTTATAAAGCCCTTTAATTGACAGCCATTGGTCGAGTGGCCAATGTCAATCTCGAGGTGAGCTGGTTTCACGTAGTCTCGTCGCTAGAACGATTGTCCCACGAGCTTAAATGGTCGGTAAACTCGTAATCCACCTTTGAGCGTATTTCTTTGCTTATTGATAACGTTTCCAACTTATAGAGATATCTGCCAGATAATGTCTACTTACTGTAGAAATCACAGTGTTTTAGTTGTTTTTTAATTATAATTAATAATTTTGCCTAAGCAACCGTAAGCATCATTTACTTTTTTATTACTATGTTATCTATCAAAATTGATGTAACTAAAAATATAAAACTTTGACTATAGGTTCCTTTTATGATGTAAACACCGTCACACATTCAGTCTTTGCCGAGGTGAAAAGACATAGTGTACGTTGTATGGAAATTCGAATAAAATATTATTCAGATTCAATACGGGATGTTTAAAACAAATTGCCTACTTTAAAAAAAACAACTATTAATCTGAGCAAATTGGGGATTTAATTTAGTAGGGTATGCCGTAATTAGGTATGGAAATTGAAACAAACGTGACAGTTGATCTTTAAACACGTCATTCCAAATATATGTACATATCTCATTGACTTACAATTATATGGACGTCGGGTCCGCGCTAAAAAGTGTCCGCACTTGTAAGGCGCTAAAATCGTATACAGAGCGCGACACTCCGCTTTAGTCTTCATTTGTTCTACGGACAGCGCGATACTGCGATGACATTACAATTTAAATTTCGAATAGGTTGACTTGGGACATTTTTTTCGTGGTTTTTGTATTAGACCCGTCGTCCATTTATTTGTAAGTCAATGACATGTCTTATAAAATTTCATTCTTCTTAATTTTACCTCTACTCACTACTTCTTATTTATTGACGAAAATGTACTAAAAACTATCTCTTATCATCGAAATTATAAGCTATATAGAAGAGTCAAATAGCCGTGGTGGCCTAATGGCTTGACCTATCGCCTCTCAAGCAGTAGCTGTCGCCAATTCGATAACGTGAAAATGCATACCCACATGCATACCTGCATATAAAGTGCACATGCATCTTAAATTTAATTGATAACCACCCAGTTGCGTACCAGTACGCAACTAACTGATATCATACACAACTTAATCGTGATAAATACTCCACAAGTGGCCTCCGACGTCGCCTTACAGCTACTCCCGGCTTAACAACTGATTTCTGATCACACTGATTTCTGATCACTCAGTCTGCACACAAGTGATTCTGATTTCTGGCTGATTTTTGGTCATGCTGATTTAAATACGTCAGATACCTGACACTCAATGTCTGGTAATTCTAGTGAAGCATGCACTGGATAATATATTGATTAACTCATAATACGAGTATGTATTGCTGTATAAAATATATAGTAACATGAAAAGTAAAAAAATTGAAAGACTTTTTTCCAGGTGAAATATAAAGAACTCATTTTATTATAATAAATTAAAATTAAAAAAAACCCAACAACTAAGGTGTACTCCAAAACTCAATAAAGTCACGCGCACAATCCGTGATTATAACTCGTCGAGACCAATTTACTGAACTATTGGTCGGTCTGTCGCATGGCGGTATACCACATGCGATATGTGATGAACCTCCCAAAGACATACTAATCACAGTCGATAAAGCTATGTTGCCATTATTATTTATTTTTTTATTGCGAATAATAAGATACCGCTATCGCGGTGCGTCCAACATATGACGTTACGATGCTCTCCATGTTAATAACAATACCTAACGCACACACTCAACATAGCACTGCACTAGGGAAACTGTGTCGCGGGTGCCATGGACACACACGTAGACAATCACAAATTACACCCAAAGTTACGAGAGAAATAAATGGAGGCCATACAAATATTTTTCCCGGCCCGGGAATCGAACCTGGGACCTCTGCGTGGCAATCCGGCATGGTTACCGTTCGGCCACGGAGACAGTTAAATGTTCGCTATTGTGATAAAATTTCATAATGGCAATTTTTTTCGCTCGAATTTGATACAATAGTAAATGTGGATACAATAGTTTTATCGCAGCGGCATGCTACGGGGACTGGTTGCAGCATCAGACGAAGGTTAAAGTATTATTGTTATGTCATTGGATTTCCATAGTATACCAAATGTCAAGTCGATCGGACAAGTAAAATAAAATAAATATTTTTTATGACAATGATCCCCAGACTAAGAGAGAAAAAAAGAGCCGGTGATCTTAAAACAGCTGAACAGATGTTCATAAACACAGTTCAGAACCATCCCGATAAAATTAGCCTCCATTGTGGGATCTACAATTCCACAAACAGACACATGACCAAAGCTTCTAACTTCCAGTCCAGCAGTCACCTTCAGTTCGGGCTTTAAGAGGTGCTCTTTTTAACCGACTTAAAAAAAGGAGGAAGTTCTCAATTCGAATGTATGTTCTTTTATTTTTTCTTTTTTTTTGTATGTATGCTACGCGATAACTAACAAACTATTTGTGAACCGAGTTTCATGATTCTTTTTTTGTTGGGAAGGGGGCACTTCCATAGTGGTCCCATTTCATTTTGAAGAAAATCATCCGCCTCTAAGGCTAACGGTACCGCTAAGTGCTCACGCATGAAGATTAATTTTTATAAATCGCGCCTAACTTTACTTTAGGAGCAATTATTTTAATGGTTGATTTTGCTATTTCTCCAATTCAAGCCGTTTTTCTCTCGATACACTAAAGGTCGTATTCCAGAACTCTACTCAATGCTCAAGTCAGGACTTGAGTATTGCAGTGAGCACTGAAAATCATACTCAAGACCTTGCCATTAGGGTCGTATTTCCAGTGCTTGAAATCATACTCCAGCCTGTTCAAGTCCTGACTTGAGCATTGAATAGAGTTCTGGAATACGACTCTTAGAGTAGTGAGAACCGCTTTTTATTATCTCCAGTGTCAAGTCCTGTATAGTGGCGAACTAGGGGATATTTCAATAAAACTTGGCAAATAGACGCAATTCTACATACTTTTGAGGTCGGTTAGTACTCTGTACTGAGATTATATACATTCATTTTATTATATATTTTATATGTATTAGTATAGCATCATTTACTTAATACTATATATTCGTGTATACATTTGATATGCTAAATTTATTCTTTAATTATTGAGTATATAGCATTCAATTTCATGATTTATTAGATTTTATTCTCGACTCAGGAGCCTACTTTCCTTTCAATTATTCAAAGGTTAGCTGGAAGAAATCCCTTTATCGGATAAGCTCGCCTTTGGACAATAACGTTCTACTTGTTTGTTAAAAAAATTGTAATTTGTTTTTGTTGTACAATACAGTGTTTACATTAATACATACATACTCCGATCTTATTGCGTCGGGAGCTAAAAAGACGATATTCTGATCGCGATGTATTGGCGGGCGCAGTCTATCTACTAGATTAAATTATCTGCGTAGTATGGACTTCTTAGGTCTTCGCAGTGTTACACATAGAAAATGAAATAATTTTGTTCCGACCTAAATCATGATTTTTTTTAAACAAACCAACGTTGCCCTTTACAGATCCCGTGGATTTCTAATATTGATACAAACCACCCTATATTTTCACTATAATTAAAATAGTTATTAAATAAACACACTATTTTTAATTTTCCAAAGAACATTCCAATTTACGCTACATACATTTTGTCCTTGTTTCATACAGAACATTGGATCCTCTTTGCGAAGAATGTACACACAAAGTCAAAGAGCAACGAACGAACGCTTGAAGTTCATAGAATAGAATAGAAAGACTATACAATATTACAATTTTATAGTAATCAATACTATACAAATGTAATATTGATAAAATTAAAGTAATAACCATAAATGCAATGTTTATACTTTTACTTAAACTCAATATGTGAAATGTTAAGGTTACGTCGTCAAGGAATTGCAATTTTAAGGTAGACAAACATTAGTTAATATCTTTCACGTTTCAAATTGTAAATTAATTAAAGGGGGCTAATAAATACACAGTATTAATAATTCAAATATTGGTTTACGTTCTTAGTTACCAAAATTTTTTATTTTTATAAATACCAACGCTAACGTAATGTCGGTACACTCCTGAGAGCAAAGGTCTTTTAACGTCTGCGGTTCTCACAGTTTAGTCAGAAATTACGTAAATCGTTACAGGTTTTGGTAGTGCTAAATCCTCAAGATAACTTGTCTCCACTTTTATATGTTTAATATAAAATATAATAATATAGTTAAATATAATATAGTACATAGAGTGGATCACATTCATAGAATTACCGTATATCAAAAATTTTATGACTCGTGCCTATGCTTGACGTGTAAATAACTTATTATAAATAGACGTATTTAAATAAAACGCGTTATCACAAAATATTTTTTTGAATAGTAATATAATTAAAATTTAAATATATAATTTTGGACTAAACTATTTACCTAAATGCATTGTATACTATGAAATAAATCATACACTAATTAGATTTAATTTCTAGTGTACAATGTATTTGCGTAAAACACTTACAGTGGCGACTAGAGTCGCGACTGTTGGTACATACGTCCCCCATTACGTAACTCGCTCGCACCGTGTCGTCGAGATTGATTTTTGGTAGCATCGGAGGGTGCAGCGCGCATGCGTCGCGTACAATACCCATACACCTAACCCCACTATAGGAACACAAACCGCACTACAACAATACTGATAAAGAAAATTCACTCTTTTTCTTCCACAAATTAAGTCTTTTTTCCCCTGAATAAGGAACAACGATATTTTTAGATAATTCCTACCCATTACGTCAAGTTCCAGCGCGCCCTCTTCGTACAAATTGAGAAACCCAGCCGTAGGAGAATTTCACTTCTCACTACAATTCTGTAAATCACATTAGAAAGATTTCTGTTCCCATAAGCTAGGTAGTACAAATAACTAACCCGTAATCTTGACATAATATTGTAATCAAAAGGTGCCTCACTGATAAAAAGGCAATATTATATTTAGATATTTCTTTAGTCGATGTACATATAGAAAATCTAGTGAGAGCTCTCCATTCATAAACTTGGTTCATTTCGTGTTGAGCAGTGAAAATAGTCAGTCAGCGAGTTTCAATTCAAGCTTAGACCGTAGCATCGAAACACAAGCGGCTAACGTGTCAAAGAGTGAACACGAATCGATAACGGCGGCCTGCCTCCATTCACTAAAAATTTAGACCGACAGACGATCCAGTACAGCTAAAATGTAAGTTTTTATTATTTACTTATTTGTACATTCCATGCGCTTTGCGATAAATAGAAGAAATAAATAGATTGTTTAAATTCAAATTAATTCTTTAATATAATTGAATACCTTATACCTTTGAATCAGATTAGTTCTTTAGTTAAATAAAAATACCTAGGTTTTTATATTTTAAAGAAAAAAAATTGCTATTTATTTATAATCTAAATAAACAAATATTTTTTGTAAATATTTGGATTTCTTTCACTAAAGCTGAGCGAACTAAGATTCTTTTTTGTAAATAATTGAAGTGTTTCTATTATATGTTGCAATTCTCATTAACTGCTCTTATTTTCAGTACATATAGTTATAGCAAAACTTTTATTTGGTATTGTTTAAAGTCACTAGATCGTGAATTTATTGATAAAAATATACAAAATGTCATGCAGAAATATGTGTTCATAAACTTCGGCAATAAAAACCACGTGCCAAATACAAATAAAACATTTAGTTTAAATGGCGAAAGCATATTTGAGTTTCGATTAATTATCGTGGCACAACGCAAATAAAGAGGTTACCATGGGCAAGTGAGCGTTTCTAAGCATCAATATGGCGTGTAAATCGATAGATATTGTTTACCGAAAAAAGTGTTTTATATAATACTTTTACCAACATCGTCGGTCATATTTAAAACCTTCACGTACACTAAGTGATATATTTAAAAGAGTTGGGAAACCACTCTTTGATAAAGTCAAATGGAATATTGTACCTACCTAAGACTTCATAAGTATGCGACGCTTGGAGTAATGTAAAAATGGATATAAAAAAACTTGATTTCTCAGTCACAGGTGCCGTTGACAGATTGTTAAATAAATATTACTTCTATTAATCTAACAGAATATTGGAAAAATACTAACGATGCCAACAACGACGCTACAAGAACAAAAAACTGTTACGCGAAAAATATCTGCTTCTAAGAATTTTATACTTACAGCCCCATAACGTAAACAAAACAAAGCATCTTGAAAATTTGTTTTAATCTGTCAGTTGTAATTTCCATATCACAAAGGCGCTCTGTCTAGTTCTGAACCAAAACTGAAAAAATTTTTCATGTCTGTACACAGAACTATGAGTTTAAAAAAAAGAATGTCGTATTTCTGTTAACGATTAGTATTTTATGCAATCGTTGTATAATGAGGGTGCTGAAAGTCGAGTATCGTGTAATAAGTACGAGATTTTAAGACCTGATTATGTAATGATTGCAAACAATACTTTTTCTATGGGTAAATAAAATAATGATACAGAACATTTATTTTAATGTATAATTAATTTAATAACAATCTTTAACAACGAACGCAATTTTTTAAATTCAATTTTAACCCTTTCTATTATGGTAGGTAAAGGTTCCACCATACAGCCATTTCATATATTTAGACGAAATTCAAACTAACACTACAAAACTAAAAACCAAAGAAATAGAATAGTAGTCGCTAAGTACCGTATCTTTGAACAATTTTTTTTTATATAAAGTTTTATGGCTCGCTGGCCATACTTTTTTTTTATCAATTTAACCAATCAGGGGGCAGTATAGCATTTAAGTAGCGTCCTAATTGATATTTAATTAACAAAAATACGGCGTTAATTTTTTAAACTCGTTATAGTTCTATGTACAGTACTTTAAACTCATTATAGTTCTTTAATAACAGAAATTTAATAAAATTTTTCAACTCAGTGGCGAGTATCATAGACAATAGAAGTTTTATTCAGAACTAAAAAGTGAGCATTTATGATACGGTTTATGATATTATAACTGACAGATATACAATAGACATACAGGAGTACAAAAAAATATCAAAAATGACGCTTTCCAAACGCTCTGTTGCCTCCTGATTGGTTAAATTCGCCTAAAGGTCTTGCAACCGGGACATAATTCTTTATATAAAAAAAATATTGGTTATAATATACGCTCTTAGCCACTTCTATTCTACCTCTTTGGTTTTTAGTTTTGTAGAGTTTGTTTGGATTTCGTCTAAATATATGGAAAGGCTTTAAACCTTTGTAAAAAAAATATTGGTTAAAAACTTTTTTTTTATATATTACCAAGTGACAGGTCGAACAAATCGTGGGCCTGGGGTAAGTGACACGCCTGTCCATAACAGTTGAAGTGCTACTCAGAGCTTTAAAACGCAAAGATCTGAGGGGCACTGCCGCTGCGCCCGTCACCCTGTGACATAAATTGATAAGTCTCATGTGCCTGTAATTTCACCAGCACTCGTACCCTTCAAAACCGGAACGCAGTAATGCACACATTACTGCTTGGCGGCAGTAATAGATAGGGTGGCAGTACTTATCTGGACGAATCACAAGGAGCGCTACTACTACTACTAACTTAAAATATAAGCGATACTTGGCCACTTCTATTCTACATCTTTCATTTTTTGTTTTGTAGCGTTTGAGTTTGTTGCCATGGATTGTTGACAAAATTTACACAAAATATCGGTTGTGTTTTACATAATTTTATGAGGTCTTAAAATCTCGTAGCAATACTCGACTTTTAGAACGCTCATTATGCAAGGATTGCATAAAATGCAATTTTCTTTAAATTACGATAAAACATGCAACAAATTCTTAAATTCAAAGATTCCTAGAATCGGACAAAGAATGCGAAATATAAATGCAAGTTACGGGCGAATAAATAAATCGAAAGTGAAACCTCGAACGACAAGGACTTGGAAAATGAAAGTTTTGTTATAGAAATACAATCTGAATTGGCAGATTTCAAGAATGGTACAGACAGCAATAAAGCTTTTCAAGATTGTTGTGCATTTTTTAGATTTTACTGTAGTAGAGTCACTCAGTACATTAACTTTTTTTAGTTTTATCCGTCATAGCTGAAAAATGGTGTCATTTATATACTACTTCATTGAAAATCGTGCTAAAGCGTATTGCTAATGCGAATTTCTTATTACGACAAGGTTTCTTTAATTATTCTTTAATTTAATGTAGGTACGCCAATATACCACCAGTAAAACATTTAACATAAATAAGTATAATTCTTTCAACTCTAAAACACATTAGAAACTAAAATTTCTACCCACGCAATTTTATCACATAAATGTTGAAATTTTGAAAACGAAAACGAAACGAAACATAATTCTGAGTTCAACGCTTATTTAAATGTCGTCGTGAAGCTCGAATATCATTCCTGCACTAATTTACTGAAAGGAAAACATTCAACCACGCCAAAGCAACTTCGGACAAAGTCAATAAACTTTAAACGGTAAAGGATCATATTACGAAAAGAAAAACTTTGCTGCAACACTATCACCAGTACTAGAGCCCCAAGTAATTTTACAAAAGCGGGTGTAAGTTTGAAATACATAAGTAGTCTCGTCACTAATGACAAGATTAGATGACGGGACGATTTGATGATGTGTTAGTGCTTTGACAAAAAGCAACTAAATCAAATCGATGTCACCCCTCTTTTTTCAAAAATAATTTAATAATAATAAGCGAATAATCACTAAAAATATTTCAATCCCATTAAGTCAAACGAGAAACCTGTTCACTAACGGAATTTGGATGTGGGGTGTTGACTAGTAATGGCATAATGAAACACCGCCGAACCGATAGTAATGAAAACTCGATAACGCGTATATGTAACAACAGCACTAGATTCAGACGTAGCACAATGATAAACATAGAGTGTCCCACGGCTATGTGCCACGGAGAGGAAGTACTTTAAATATTGTATATTGAACATTTTGCTCCGTGGAGATTTATATATTATATATATATAATAATAGACATTATTTTATTAACCGATTTCAAAAAAGGAGCAGGTTCTCAATACGACAGTATTTTTATGTGTGTGTATGTTACGCGATTACTCCGACATTTGTGAACCAATTTTGATGATTCTTTTTTTGTTGGAAAGAGGATACCTCGATATTAGTCGCATTTAAATTTGAAGAAAATATTCCACCTCTAAGGGTGACAAACTAGGGAATGAATCTGGTTTTACTTTCCGGTAACCGATATCAATAAAACATGACAAATAAATGAAATAATCTCAGTACAGAGTAATCAAACAATCGATCTCAAAAATACGTGGAATTACATATAGTATCTAAGGAATACAAATGTTTTAACAAATATCACCAAACTTTAAATAATTGTGATTTGTTTTCTTACACATACGAGCATTGTAAAGGGTCTTTCAACAAGAACTTTGTTTTCTAAAACAAAATAAAACAAAAAATTTAGATGAAGATGATTCAAATTTTTATTGTATTACAAAGAGAAAAGTTCGGCAATTATGAATGAAAAATGATATCTGGCAAATGGCCACCGCGACCACGCTGACAGAAGTCGATTCTTTCATCAAAATTTTTAATCACTTTTTGGCAAAATGTCGGGTCTATTTCGGCTATCACATCACGGATTTTGAGTTTTAAGGCTGTAGTCGATTCGATTGGCTCCGTATAGACTCTGTCCTTAAGATAGCCCCACAAAAAATAATCCAGTGGTGTTAAATCACACAATCTGGCTGGCCATTTAACAGCTGAATTTCGGGAAATTACGCGATCAGCAAATTTGGTTTGCAATAAATTGATCGTCTCATTGGCTGTGTGACATGTGGCACCGTCTTGTTGAAACCACATGTCAGTGATATCCATGTCATCAATGCTAGGCCAAAATTGAGTTGTTAACATCTCGCGATAGCGTGATCCATTCACCGTTACCGCATTTCCAGCCTCATCTTCGAAAAAAAACGGCCCAATCACGCCTCCAGACCACATAGCGCACCATACAGTGACACGTTGAGCATGCAAAGGCGTCTCAATAATCGCTCTAGGATCTATTTTTTGTGGGGCTATCTTAAAGACAGAGTCTATACGGAGCCAATCGAATCGACTACAGTCTTAAAACTCAAAATCCGTGATGTGATAGCCGAAATAGACCCGACATTTTGCCAAAAAGTGATTAAAAATTTTGATGAAAGAATCGACTTCTGTCAGCGT